AGCGAATGAAGGAAGCAGGTATTATTTGTACAGCTTCTTCGCACCCAACAACAGGTTGGGTGGTACCCTTTACGGTGGTAGAGGAAAAACCGTCAGGGAAGCGACGAAGATTTATTGCGTGGCCCAAGGGAAAGAATGCCCAGGATGACTATGAAGCTGACGTTCCTCTGGAACACATTTCCCGATACCTGGATGTGGTATACGATGAAACCGCAACGTTATTTGATTTAAAAGCATCCTTCTTCCAGGTGGCCTTACCGCACAACATAAGGGCAAGTTTCCGTTGCCGCACGGAATCAGGCGAACTTGTCGAATTCGCACGCCTTTCTATGGGCTACAAATGTATTCCTGAGATTCTCAATACCATTACAAGAGTTCTGGCAGGTGATCCTGCCATGGTATTGCCGCAGTATGCGGCACCCAAAGAGTTAAAAATACACGTTTGGATTGATAATATCCGAATAAGTGGTCCACACGAAAAGGTGGAAGCCTGGGGCCAGAGAATATTACATAACATGCAACGCTGCGGTGTCACGATTGGGGAACAACAGTTAAAAACAAAGGAATATGATTTCATCGGGGTACATTTTAACCACAAGGACAACACGGTGTCTTTAAGTGAGAAAACAATAAAGAAGTTGCAACAGACACCTTCGCTGGATACCACGACGGTGGAACAATTGGAGAGTACGGTTTCGCGTATGATGTACGCAGGAGGGGTAAGAGGTGAATCCCTTTTCCCTTATTATTTCTTCTTAAAAATTGTACGTCGACGTTTGTCTCGTTTAAACCGAGGCTTAATACGACCACAAGACCCGGCAAATTTATCGGCTACTGTCAAAGACATTGGTCACAGTTGGCTCACAACATTATTACAGAACGAGCCGGTTCATCCTCCACAAAAGTTGCCCTCCACGGCAACACTGGTGACAGACGCCTCCATGTACGGATGGGGAGCGTTATTATTCAAAGATTCAGGGGAGGTTTTGGCGGCAGGGGGTGCGTGGGCGCACCCACCTCACATGATATCTCAAGCAGAGGCGCGGGCAGTCCATCTCGCTTTACACGCTTTTAAACAATATCTACACGGTCCCGTGGATATTCGCGTGGACAATACAACGGTCATGCATATTATGCAAAAAGGTAACACGCATTCACAGGCTTTAGTAAAGGAAGCTGACGCCATTGATAAAGTTCTTCGCTTACACGGAGTACGGGCAACATGGAACTACGTAGCTTCAGAGCAGAACCCTGCGGATGGCATATCTCGAGGTAAACCAGTCCACTCAGTAGACTTAGCGAGGGGGTGGAACTTGCGATGGGGAGAACGGGAGGCGGGATAAAAGGGCTTCTCAGCACTTCCTTTTCGTCAGTTTTGGGATTCTTTAATAAATAACTGTATGGGAAAATCTCGATTTATATTTGTTTATATTTTTATATGATACGGGGTTACTAGTAGTAGAGGTAAAATACACTGTTTTCTTTCTTTCTTCTTTTCTCTTTCATAGGTGAAGTAAGGCCAAGATTATTCTCGTTTAAATCGTGGTTTATTGCGGCCCCAAGGCCCAGCAAAGTTATAATCTAATGCCAGGGTCATTGGGCAAAGTTGGCTCAAACATTGCTGACGAACGGGCCAGTTCACCCACCGCGGCGGTTACCATCCACCGCAAACGCTGGTAACAGACGCCTCCATGTACGGATGGGGGGGCGTTGTTATTCAGGGATTCGGGGGAAGTTCTGGCCGCAGGCGGTGTGTGGGAGCATTCGCCGCCCATGATATCCCAAGCGGAAGGGCGTGTAGTTAATCTCGCATTGCGCGATTCAGAACGCAACTAACAAGCCCCTTCGATATTCGCATGCGAAGAGCAACGGCGATGATGTACATTATGCAAAAACGAAACGCACATTCACTGGCGTTAGTGGCGGAAGCCGGTGCCATAGAGAGTTTTGCGCTCACATGAAATGCGATCTACTCGAAGTTTCACCGCGTCCGAGGAAGCCCCGCGGACGGCATATCTAGGGAAAAAAACATTTAAAATTTGGACGTTACGAAGGGGTGCAACTTGCGATGGGGAAGGCAGGAGGCGGGGTAAAAGGGTTTCTCAGCACTTCCATTTTCACCCGTTCCGTTGTTTGTTTGCGGGGGCGACTCTCGTGGTAGAAAAAAAAAAATCGGGATGCGCACGCGCAGTGGCGAGTAAAAGGGGATTTCAAGATGATAAAGTAAAACACTGCTTCTTATTTGTCTTTCTTTTTATGAAGTGAAAGTAAGGCTGGGGTTATTCCGATCACAAAAGGTAAAGCAACCCCATCGACTCTCCTACAGGTTGGCGGTTCGCCCCTCATAATGGATAATTGTATTTTTTTATTTTGACACAATGTTTTTGGCCAAAACCCTGCGAAACTTACTTGGGCGACACGAACAGTTCACGTTTTCGCGCGTAAATGGCGATCCCGGCGGGCGTCTCGGAAGGCCCCCTCGCCACGCCACCCCCCACCCCTTCGAAAGAAGCCCCGCCCAGCACACCTGCGGCGGAATGGCTTAATTGTGGTTGGAAGCGGCCCTTGCCTTTATTGGGTAGAAAAAAAGTTCTGGACCATCTTTTGTGCCACCAAGGGTGGCGGGGCGGGGCACGGCAAACGGCCACGAGGGGATGCCCTGCCTAGGCGTTTCGCGGCCCCGCGGTGCCAAAAAAGGGGCCGGCGCGCCGCCTTTCCAAAAAAAAAAAAAAAAAAAAAAAAAAAAAANAAAAAAAAAAAAAAAAAAGAAAAGAAGAAAAGCCCGCCCAATGTCTTCCTCCAAGCGGCTGCGGTGCGTGGTTGGTTTGTGTCCGTCGCCTTTGTTACTGGCTACTTTCTGCCTCAGGGTTCGTGGTTTTATCGCGTGGGCGGGGTTGTGTGCGGGCATTCGGCGTTTTTTTTTCGGGTACAATGGCGAGTGCTGGGGGGCCTGGTTCCGAAACCCGCGTTTTGCTGCGCCATCCCCTTTAAGGATGCGCGAACGTTTGTTCTACAGCACCGTCTCCAACACAACTCCTGTTTGAGACAACCTGCCAGTCCATTCGCCCAAATGCTGGCGGAGGTCTGCGTTCGCCTGAAGCTGTCATGTCTTGGGTGGGCTTAGAAAAGGGTGGGTATGGGCGTTCGCCGCATGAACACCTTCAAAGTATCCATAAACTTCCGGCTGCTTGGGAACCCCGCAACGCCGCCGACCCACAGTACAAAGGAAGAAGCCCCAGGTTTCAACGATAAAGCCTGCCAAAAGAGAACAGAAAAAAGATAATGCGTGTGCCCAAAAGAAAGGGGACGTTTTAACCAATACAAATCGCAAGATGGAAAGCAATCGCCCGAGAGAGAACCTGCTTCTCGCGGGCCTTCCTCATTTTTTAGCCGCGGGAAAAGCCATTTGCCGTAAGGGGGTTCTCGGGGGATTTTTTTCGGCCGCCTCAAAGGGAGCTGCCTAGAACCCAAACCTCATTTGGCGGCTCAGCCACCCCTGCCGGTGTTTCCCTTGGCTTCCGTCATTTCCGCACCGGCCTTGGCGGACTACGCGAAAGCCCCTCGGCGCCACAAAGCCAAAGACATCGGCAAAATAACGGGCAAAATGGCGCAACCACCAGCCGGGCCAAAGTTTGTCAGCGGGAGAAAATTCAAGAAGGAACTCAGCGCGGGAACCTCGGTCGGCTTCAAAGGAAGGCTTTCTTCCCCTTCTGGTTTCGCCGACCTCGCGCGGGGGTTGTAATGCGAGAACGGACCCTCACAATGGGGTTCTTTTTTTTTTTTTTTTTTGAGGGAGAGGTTCCATGGCGCGTTCTGCTGTTGGAAAAACCTCCCCTGCTCAATGATCAACGTATAAAGTGCTCTCGTTAAAAGAGATTTTGGACTGGACTATGTCTCGCGGAGTTCTGTGGCATGCCCGAAGGGGCAACGAGCGAAGAATACTGAGGAATGGTGTGGGGGTCCTGCCCTTGGGCACCGAATGGGCAAATCACCCGCCGCCCCCTTATAGAAACGCGTTGGCGCCTGTTACGGGTCACAGATATGCTTGGCGCGGTCGTTTGTAAAAAAAGAAGGGGTTTTTCTTTATACTAAGGATCGGCGATGGCCGCATTACTCAGCGCACGCCCTTTCCAAAAAATCCCAGCGCACACAATCACCCCAAAATGGGGTTTGCATTACTTTTTTTCAACGCCAAACGCCTACCCAGAAGAAGTGGCCTCACCGAAGAAAGGCAATTATGAACTTCTTCAAATCTGAGGGTGATCCTTTGGGCAATTCACGGGGCCCTCCCTTGATGGGGGCGGCGTTGGATGGACCTATTCTAACCCTTTCCGTATCATAAACCCCAGAAGACCATGAAGAACATGTCATTATGGCGTGTTCTCTCCGTCCAACACGGTTCAAAGCAGTATGGTTGTACTGAAGTTTTCTCTCCGGGGAAACTTCGTTTTCGTTTGAACGTCAACAAGTCCCACCCCCGGCTGCCAAAATAGGCAAGAACAAACACCAAGAATTGACCCACCAATTAAAAAGATTTGCTGCCGCAAAAGAAGGCTGTTGTCCCCGTCGTGCTGGCGAATTGCGCGGACGTCCTTCATTTTGAGAAAAGAATCTTTCCCCAGAGAATGGCGTCGGGAAACCTTGGTGTAGAGCCCCGATTGTGCAACCCAATAGCCGGCGTCACCGATGACGGGATGCCTCCCGCAGGGTTGGATGCAGCCGCGTTGCTGAATGGTGCAGCGCGTTAACCTGAGAGATTCCAATGAAAAACAACGGGCGTTCTGCAAACCCACAGAAAGAGAAGCCGCAGGAACAGGCAAAAAAAAACCCTCCCACACGCGACCCCGCCTTCCTCCGGAGAACAGGTGTTCTTTCCAAAAGGATGGTTGAACCCCAAGCCTCTTTTCCGTTAAAAGCCCAAAGGTCTTCAGGAAAAAAAAAATTCTCTTCACTTAGGGGTGCCGAATTGCCAGTAGTACTTTCAAAATTGATATGTTGCACCGCATATCTGCCAGCAACCCCGCCGCACAGCTTGGGGCAATGATTCTTTAGCTTAAAGATGTTTATCGTCGCCATTGCGATCCCATCGAAGAATGTAATCTATTTAAAAACTCCTTCTGAAGCAGCTTGTTTATGAACGAATGTTTGACCCCAGCGGCCCAAAACCAATTGCGCCAAATCAAAACCATACCTTGAACCAGCCGCTGCCCCCATCGCGCATAGCAACAAACCGCGCGCCAAGCCCAAAAATGAGGAATGCGGGGGCGCCTTGCTCTCACCCAAAAATTCCCCGCTCGTGCTCGCCGTCGTTTTGCCTTCGAGGCGCCCGGGAAGGAGCCAGGCCCCCGGAGCGCCCCACGCGGGCGGGGCAACCCCCAACCAAAAAAAAAAAAAAAACCGACGGCCGCATTTCAACAGCATTCTTCTTTAATTGTCTTCATCTGGAAGCGGTTCGTTCCCACTTCTCTCCCCCAAGGGGGTCCAACACCTTTTTCCCTTCTTAAATCTTCTATTTTTGCGTGTCTCCTTCTTGCCGCCTCTTGTTCTAGTGGTGTTTCATTGTTCCCACAAAATTGGGCGGAAGGGAATGACACGCAAGCGGGCGAACGCATTCGAAGCGCGTTTGGGGGATTTGGGCGGTTCCCAGGGTAATGCGGTTTGGAACGCAAAAGTATGTATTGCCCTGGTGGCTTTTTGCGTCGCAATTTCATTTTCTGAATACTAAAGGGGAAAACAGCTCTCTTCTCTTCCTGCGAATTGTTTTCACTCCCTAAAGTTTGCAACTTGGAAGCCATGATGGGCGTGCCGAAGCGCAATGGCATTCCTACAGGAATCAACTGGGACATTACGCTCCAACGCCAGCCCTCGTGGGTTAACGCCCCCGCCTATTAACCGGGGTCCGTCCAAGCTTTGAAGTTTGTTCAAATGTCCATCAGTGTTCGGGAATCCTTTCCTTCGCCTTTCCAATTCCACCCAGAAGGGCCGGTTCCGTCTTAATTTGCAACCCTTCTCGTATGGAAATGGCGGCCCTTCACCATAATCAGAGCAAGTGATGCTATGGCGTTGGAACCCCGAATGGCGAAAGCTAGAAGGTCGATTGTGGGAAAGAGCATCCTGGCCACACCCGGAAAGCAAAAGAAAACACCCGACGAACAATTTATTCAAAAGAAGCCGGGGGTCTGACCAGCGTTGGTTTTGAAGCGTTCCTTTCAAGCTCTACCCTCCGGAGCCGGGTTTTTTTTCATATTTTTCTTCAGGCCGTTTTCTGGAATCAATTTGGGGAACAGGGCGGCCCCAAACGAGCGACAAAATCATTTAGCGTAGAAAACTGCTGCTTCCCCACGGCTTCCGATGAAGATCGCGGGGCCGCCGGATCCGGTGATCCACCCCCGCCCTTCGGGAGCCGAACGCCGCCCGGGCGGGGGAATGGGCCGGGGGCCCCTTTCGGCGGGGTGGTTGGCGTTACCGGAATAAAAAAAAAAACATAAAGCGAGTGCTGGAGGTGCGGTCGGCTTCTGCCTGTCGACGCTGTCTTGCGCTATGGGCTCTGAGTTTCTCTGCTCTGCTTACCCCCGCCTTCGCTCCGGCGGTTGGCCAAAACCGTTTCCAACACAACACGCCGAGGTGCCGCCACGAATTGTATTTCCCCGTATGTCGTTTTGTTTTTCTAGATTGTGGATACCTTGTTTTATGCCTGTGGTCCTAAGGTTCTCTGTTTATCTTTAACCAATGCTCGGCAATATTCTCTATTGGCAAGCCTGGTGTTGCTGGGGTGTGTATTTTTAGGGGAAATGATATCAGTAAGGGCTTATTTGCTCGAACCGTTGTTTTCGTTTTTTTGCTGTCCTTTTATTCTTACATTGCTGGTACCAGATTCTTTTCTTGTATTTCAATGAATTTGTATTGGATCTATTTTGCTGTAACCTCTATTACTACATTATTTTGATGCTTTGAAGGGAAAGAAGCTTTTTTTTTGTTTTTATTTTTCTGCTTGAAGTCTGGCCCGCCTATTTACGACAAAAAAAAAAAGCAGTCTGTGCCTCTCCTTTTTCTTTCTTTTTTTTTTTTACATGAATCTGAAGAAAAGTGGTGTGTTGCAAAAAAAAAAAAAAAAGAAAAGCGAAAAGTGGATCAAGGTGTACTGCCAATGAAAAATGGCCTCTCTCCCTTTCAAGATGGTTTGTCTTGATTTGGATGGGACGCTTCTTCAACCGGATCATACTGTCTCTGAATTCACCAGGACAATATTGCAAAAACTTGTCGCACTTGGTGTCCACGTCGTTATTGCTACGGGTCGACCTTACGCTGATGTTCGCCATGTTACCGAAACAATAAGGTTCAACGCACTTCTTGGGAATACTGACCATTCTGGCGTATGCTATACCATCACTTCAAATGGTGCACGCATTTACAACGACAAAGGACGGATTATAGTTAGAAAGAACATCCCAGAAACGTTTTGCCGTGTCCTATATGGTTTGGAGAAGGATGATAACGAGGTGAATGTTAATGTCTTCCGAGATGTAGTAAGGCACAATTCTCCTCCAAAGATGGAAAGAATGAACACTAAAGATAACGCGTGCGATAATAATTCAGTTCTACTCGAAGACGAAAATGAAGTGTTTCTAACATTGAACAATGCAGAGAATGTTGAATGCGAGGAGGAGTGGGTTTGTCGTCACCCAGCAGTTGAAGAAGCCAAACTGTATGAAAAGAGTAACTTTTGTTACAGAGTAGAACAACATTTGGAGTTAAATTATCCTACTGATAACGTAAGTGAGATTTTTTTTCTGTGTTACAATTTCCAAAAAGCTATGGAACTGGAAAGGAGAATTGATATGTTGAATTCTGAGTTTGAGCGACAGATTCGAGAAGAGAGTGATAAACACGATATAGGGTCTGCAGGTATTGTGGTTGCTCCTTCAGCTGCCCACTGTCTTGACATAGTACCAAAAAATACTTCTAAAGGTATAGCCGTACAAGATGTAGCGAGACGTCTTGGTCTTACTATGAATGATGTGATTGCTTTCGGTGATGGTTTAAATGATGTTTCGATGCTATCAATTGTCAAGAAAGGTTGTGTTATGCTTAACGCGAATCCACGCTTGAAGGAAATGTTACCACATCTCGAAATTGTGGGGTCCAATAGTGAAGATGGTGTTGCAAAAAAACTCCAAGAAATTTTTTGTTTGTGAGTATATAATATTAAGGAAAAAAAAAGCTAATCAATGAGCGTTTATTAGTGAGCTTTAAAGTAAATGTGACTGATATCAGGAATGTGATATACTAACAGATCCTTTTTATTTATTTATTTGAAGTTGATTATGGGGGAATATGTGTATGAAATTGCTCACAAGGCGTTCGAGCAAACAATGGTGACTAGTTATTGATTTATAATTATCAACTATTGTAGCATGTTTTCTATCTTTTGCTTTCTTAGACCTCCAAGCCAAAGGGATACCTCTTCAAACATGATTGCGTGCTCTAAGTCTCACTTTTCTCTTTATTTCTCTGTTTTTGTTTTCAATAGATGGTATAGAGAGACATATAAGGTACTATGAAGTAAATGACACGATGAACTCTACTAACTATGAATTTTTTTTTTTTTTTTTAGTGGGAGAATTGTCTTCACTGTCGTTCTTTTCTTTGCGGCGTTTTTCTGGGTTTCACTTCATATATTATCTCTAAGGGAGTTTCTCTCAAGACACGATGAGTCATTCCATTTCCTTTTTACATCGGCAATGATGATTTTAAGAGACTCTAGATATATGGTGTTTTTTTTTTCTCTTCCAATCCTTCGTCAGTACCTTATCAATTGGTTTCTCTGGTGCATACTCTTTACTTCATGGCTTCTTCCGGGTATTTTGTTTTCTTCTGAGACATTCCTAAAAAAAATATGCACCTAGAGAAGGTCTATATAATATGATGGGTACTGAGAGTGGAAAAATCTTTTTTCCTATTTGTTATTTCTGTCTCCGGAGATATGTTTGACCGAAATAATTCTCAGGGGGGATTTAGGTTTTGATTTTTTCTTTTACCATCCTACATATCCTCCATGGCAGCTCCCTTCACGTTGAGGGAGACTATGATGATATAGTAATCCTGCAATCTTCCACCTGGTGATTTTTACTGGATGGATCCCATTCCTCGATGATATGGGTATGCTTTATTTTGCCTCATCTCTGTGCATCTTGCTTTTCTAATAAAGTGGTTATGTATTGTGTATGAACAAACTGTTTTTGTATTTATTCTCATTGGTATTACTACCAGGTTTATGTCAAGAGAGGAAATATATTCTTTTTTATTTTTACATTTGTACACCAAGCCTCCTCCTCACTTCATATCCTTTACAGTTTTCTTCTGCCTTTCTACCTTTAAACATATATTTCTTCTTTTGCTTTTTATTTACAATTTACCTCTTGATGAACTATTTTAATAAGACCTATGATTTATTCTTTCTTTTTCTCTGCTTATGTATCTCTTCTTTGGCTGACTTTGGGTGTCTATGGGGATTCCTTTTCTTCCTTCTTTCCTTTACTTTCTTTCTCTCTTTCCCTGTTTGGTTTTTTTTTTTTGCCCTCTCTAAGAGATGACGACAAGAGTTTCGCTCTGTGGTGTCTCAATCGTTGGCAACAATCCTGCAGCGTTTGATGAGCCTATCTCTGTGAAGGTATTACTCGAAGTTTTTGAGAAGCCGCCAACACTTCCAATTGATGTGAAGTTTGTGTGGAACCCAATTTGGGATTTCCCTGTGGAGCAGGAGTTGGATGCATTTGAGGTTGGGCCGCTGACAACACTTGGGAGGCATGAGCTAACGCTTCAGAGTGACCCTCCCGACTTTGCAAAGATTCCTGACCCTACCGGGCCAACAGCGTTGATCATCACCTTCAGTTACGATGGCAGGGAGTTCCTCCATTTGGGTTACAACGCCATAGTGACATGCGAGGGGGAAATGCCTGATGTCTTTTTGGATGCAGGACAACTGCGGCGTCATCTTACACAGTGCTTTCCGAAACAGACAATGATTGTATGGGACACTGATGACTGCAACGGTGGTAATAATAATGATAATGGTAATGGTAATGATGTGGATGTTGATGATGATGAACATGATGAGGATGATGAGGATGTGAAGGGGGTAGAGAGCTCGCATGATGAAGACGAGAGTCCACCCGCAAAGAAAGCCAAGCACAACTGATATGATGAGAGTAGATTCAAAGAACTGACGGGATTTTATTTTTATTTTACTTTATTTATTTATTAATTTTATCCTTTATGGAGTTGTATCCCTTTCTTATTTTAGTATGAAATTTTCAGAATTTATTCCCCTTGCTGTCTCTCACACTCCATTATTGCAGAAAATAGGGAAACAGTTACCATGTTAATGGTGATTGGACCAGATGATTCCTCACTTTTTGAGTATGGTAAATCGCTGAAGGGTGACAGCGCACACTTATCACAACAGTTAATGTTGTACTCCTCCTTAGATCTCCTTGATGATGTCCTCTGGACCACAGGTGATTTCCTCCTCCCTGCATTTGACCGAGCATTTGATGGGAAGTATTTTGTTTCTGCCTATGTCGGTTTCGCCCCTGTCAAATTACTACTAATGCAGGCACAAGAACCCAATAAAAACACACGACAATTCCTCAACGAGGCGTATGAGCTATGTGTGCGGTACCTACTTAACCCTTTTTCGTATCCGAAAAATTCCTTTCGCTCTACATTAGAGGAAAAACTGCGACGTGTGTATGAAAGGTATTTTTAGGTGTTACCATGAAGTATGAAGGACAACAGAAAAAAAAAGATTGTTGAAGGAAGTGTTGTGAATAGGTAGATGGTTCCTTCTCCTCTTTGCTGCATCCTACATGTCCTCTTCTTTTTTTTTTTTTCTAAACCCTCATATACAATGGTGAAGGGAGTGAACCAACACAAGAAACATTCTTAGAAAAAGAGGTATAAAGATAAATGGGAAAATCGATGGTATTTCAACCAGAGATTATTGTGTGCGAGACACCAGAGGAGCTCAGTCGCGTTTCGTGCAAAACTATCCTCGATATCATTGACCAGTCAAAGCGCGGAGTGTGGCCGTTGTCACTGGCTCTCTCTGGTGGATCTACACCAAAGATGTTGTACAAGCGTCTGCATGACGAACACCTACAACTACTTAGGGATGAGCGACCTTTGCGCAACAGATGCTACAGAGTCAAATTACAACATGACAAGAGAAGTTCTTTTGCGTGATATCCCTGATGATCTTGTGGTACATGTTGATATTAGTGTACCCGATACGACACCGGCGAAGGATGCCGCAAATGCTGTTAAGGTGGCAGATGCGTATGCAAAGCGACTCAGTTCCCTTCTTCCAATGGATATCGTGCAAGAAACCAGTTACACAGATCCTTATATTTGACATTATCCTACTAGGCCTTGGTTCAGATGGACACACCGCGTCTGTTTTCCCTGGAACTGAGGCTGCGAAAGAAGTGCACCGCGCGGTTACCGTGAGCTTTCCAGGCCCAACAATGAACCCAAAGGTGTGGAGAATTACACTCACACCAACGACCAAGTCCTCTGAGACACCTGTTTCACGTTTTCTTCAGGACTGTAAAGGGAGAGTCATGTTTTTATTTAAAAAGGAGATTGCAAAGGATATCAATTCGTAGTTTTTTCTCTCTCTCTGTCTCTCTTTTCAATGTGCCTAGGATGCTTTGTACCTTGTGGGTATGAGTTTGTTTAGATTCCAACAGTCAATGATTTGAAGCCATCTGTATTATTTTTATAATTATTTACACTTCTGCTTAATATGCAGATATTTATTGGCCGTCTAAAATTATAAAGAGTCATGGTTATACTCTTTAATAGTCTTTGTAAACTATGGGCCTTTATGGACCTTTTTCTTTTGGGATACATTCTATTATACACGATGAAGTGTTTTTTTTTTTCTTCTTCTAAAGTTGATTCCGAGTGGAAATGAGAGTAGAAGACTTTGTTCTTGTCATCCAACGGCTCTGCATGCTCACTAATAATTAACATTTTTCCTTGGGTTTGTTATTCCATGGCACGTCCGGGAAAGTTGGATAGTGAGGAAGCATTATTTCTATGCTTGAAACTCTTCCACATGATTTGGTCAGCACTTCAATGAGAGACACTAGCTGTATTAAGGGCGTTAGGAACAGGAACAGGAACAGTAAAGAAGTCGTCTGTGCCCTAATATCTGCTGTCTTATTTCCCAATGGATTAATCTCTAATGCGTGAGTGCTGATGGGTGTGATGTTCATCTGGGGCTTTTTCAAAACAATATCTTTTTCACTTTCCCCTACTATATATTTTTTATTATTACAGGTATAAGGTGTCATTCAACTAGATGTGGTTCATTTAAAAAAATTCAAACTCGTTAGTAATTTATTTTTTGTTACTATAGACGCTGTCTGTTTCTTGTTTTACTCCTTGTATTTTTTTCCCCTCTTGAATTCCTCATCACGTTTTTTATCCTTACAGCAAATGAAGTGTAAGGCATAATGGGCTGTAGATGCGTGGTGTGATGCTGCTGAGATAATGCACATAAACACACTAATACAAAAGCATTAAAGTACCCATTAACGCAGGAGGGATAACACACACACACACATGGATGCTGCTCTCTTAACACTGCTGATCTAATGACACTTTTGAGTCTCCGACTAAATGAGAATAGTCAAGTGGACACATTGTACAACACATGAGACTCTTTATCCCATTCAATAGAAATGGGAATATACATTTCCTTGTGTCCCATCTAAGCTTTCTTTCTTTATCTCTGTAATATTGAGTTATGTTTATTTTTTTTTTTTGGGAAATAGCAACCAGTCACACCTTAATGGGAGTTTCCATGGCACAAATGATACGTGACTCTCATAGTTAGAAGAAGAGGAGAATGTATCTCTATTTAGTGCGAGAACTCATTGAGTGGTAGTGGTACAGTGATCCTACTACCCATCAATTGTAACAAAAAGTAAAAAGGAAAGAAAAAAGAACGATGGAAGAACTCTTGGAATACATTTTGATAGAGTGGAATGAAACAAATCTCTCTTTGGGGGATACATTGCAATACTATTTCTCACTGCAGAGGTGTTCTACGCCTTTTATTGATAACTACAACACAAGTGGAAATGAATGTCTCTCTTGTGGTGAAAGGAAAAACATTCCTACTGAAAGAGTATTAATAGGGGGCGTACACAACTCTATGTGCATGGGATTACTACTATTCTACAGGGCAAAAAACAACAAAAACAACTACAGGGAGTGAATCACTGAGGAGTGATACTGAATTAAGATCTCTACTGAATAAACAGAGTTAAAAAGTAACTGTGTTGTACATGTTACTTTCTCTTGGAAATGTGAGTAGTGCTCTTATAGATAGTGTTCTGTGTATGTGTTGTGGGTATGGTAATTAGTACAGGAGTATTTTTGTAGCTGATGGAATATTTCATATAATCCCCTCCTCTATTATTTTATGGCTCTTCTGATGTGTATTTTTTTGTTTTTTATTATGCTCTTCTACTACTGACATGGATGGGCAAAAGAAAAAAAAAATTATCAGCAAGTTGAGTTGGTGGGTTAGTCAAGCATGAGTTGCACAGTCTTTTTCCAATGCAAAGGACAGATCTGAACACATGGTATCATTCACTCTTTCCATGGCTTCTTTCTATGTTTTTCACTTGTTTAAAGGCAGTACAGCACTTATTATTATGACTATTTGTTATTATTCTCTGCATTTCTTACAAACACCATAAAACACCAAATCTGCTCACAATGCATTGTTGTTGATACTGTTGGTATGTATGTGTACCACAAGAGGGTATATTGATATCTTTTCTCATTCTACTTTTTGGCATAACTATCATTCTTCTCTTTCTGAGAGTATTACTGTTGATGTATACATGTGTTTAATTATCTGCTAGATCCAATATAATATCTATTCATGCTTACCTTTTATTCTCTCCCTTTTCCTCTTTTTTTCTCTTTACTCTGTGTATACCTTAGCAAAGCAACACACACACTACTCACGCTATTAAGAAATGGAGAAACACTCCATGCGTCACCTCCTGTGGGCTGCACTGTTCCTGTTGTACTGCAGCTGCGGGTGTTTGGCTGATGTTGTGCAGCAGTTACCACAGAAAGGACAAAGTGCTCTACAGGCGTACACCGTCTCTGATACTCCTGAGGAATGGCAACCCATTCGCATTTCCGTGTATACAAAATTTGTTGAGGATGTTGTGAAGGAATGCATAAAACAGCGTTCGGAGGGTGATTCCAATACTACCGTCGAATTCTGTAGCGGTGACAATCAAATGACAGCAGCGAAGATGAATACTCTTTTTAAGGATCTCCTCCCTGAAGCGATTAAATTGCACAGGGATCGCCTGAATGTGCAGCCATTGCAGAGCAATCTGAAGATACAGGAAGAGGAGGTTCGCTGGTTTACGAGCAATTGCTGGGGATTCATTATTCCCAGTGAACATAGTACTGAAGGTATTCCCAATGCTGATTTTATGCTTTACGTGAATCTCGGGACAGAGCGTAAAAGTTCGGCGGTTTGCTCTATAGATGAGAATAAGCGACCAACATCTGCCCGCATCAGTTTTGTCCCGAAGGAGATCGTCGACACGAGACATTACATTCGTTTGGCTGCACACGATATTGCGGTTGGACTTGGATTTACCACCGAATATATGAGTAAATATCTCACGACAGCATCAGCATCTATCTTCATGAATGGCGTACCAAAGTGGCTCATGATGGTGCAGAGTAACACGGTGAAGGATAGGGCCGTGAAGCACTACGGCTGCCAGGGTCAAACTCTCAAGGGAATGATTTTGGATAATAAAGGCGATACTTATTCCGGATATTGGGAGAGGCGCATCGCACGGGATGAGTTGATGAGTCCGTACACTGGTGAACCCACTGGAATGTTCTACACTAACCTGACACTTGCAGCATTTGGTGATATGCCTTTCTACGAGGTTAATTTCAGCATGGCAGAACCGATGAGTTGGGGGAATCAATCGACCTGTGACTTCATACAAAGCACATGCACAGCAATCAGCAAAACATTGAAGTCCTCTAACGTCTTCTGCCAGGAAAGTGATAAACCTGTACTACAGTGCACTTCTGATCGCTTTGGTCTTGGTGTCTGCTCCAAGGTCGACACGAACACGCATAGTATGTCCGGTGAGTACAAGTTATTTGAAATTGTTGGTGAACAGAGTGATATGATGAAAGGCTGTCCCATCATTAGGCCGTTTCAAGAGACCATGTGCGAGAATGGTAAGGAGACACTGATGCCTGGAAGTATTGTGGACAAGATGTCACGGTGTCTGGATCTGAAGGAAACGGTGGAAATCGATGAAAATGGAAAGGAAGTGAAGGTTCAAGGCATTTGTGCAAAGGTGAAGTGTGATAATGGCAAGGTGCATGTGCATTACAAAGGGGACAAAGAGAAAGTGAACGGGGAACAAGAATGGCACGAGTGCACCGAGGAGGGCACTATTAATCTGCAGGGTTCAGTGTTCACGAGTGGAACTATTGTGTGCCCCAAATACGCTGAAGTGTGCACCGGGCTACCGGAAACCGAACCTTTTAATATTCCATATGAAGAAGTTGTGGAAAAGCCTGAAGAGGAAGAAGAGGAGGAAAAGCCTGAAGAGGAAGAAAATCCTGGGGAGGAAGAGGAGGAAATGAACAGTGGCACGGGAGATCAGGACCAGACCCAAAAACCTAATGATAATGAGGACGGTGCCACTGACAACAGCATCGCTCTCTCGTTCTTTGAACCTCTTATGCTTCCTGTGTGTATTGTTGCTGCGGTGGTGGCCCTGTGAGAGCCCCACACGCATATTCTAACTTATATAGCGCTATAATTTTTTTTCTTTTTTTTCAATTTATATACGCATAAACAATAATTGTTTCCCTTCTCTTTTTTTTTTTTTTCTGACTGGGCTCGAGGCGGTCTTCACTTTATTTGTGAAAGACTGCATGACTATTAATCTTTTCGGACTATATATATGTATATGTGTCTGTATCTATATATGGTTGTATATACACGAACACCGTGGTTTTTTTTGGGAATAATAATTCTTATACGCTACTTATGTATACTGTGCTGCTTCACGGTACTCTTACTCGGGTGTACAAATGTACACACATACCGAGTGTAAAAAGAACTGGGAAGTGCATGCATGCGTCTTTTTTTAAAATTGACTGAGGGATTTTTCTAAATGATCCATTTCTCTGTAAATGGATTGGATGAGTGAATGCACGTTGGAGTACATGGATTATCTTTTCTGTGAGTATTTGATACCTCTTGTGCTAGTGCATTTGGATGTATTCTTTTTTTTTTAATGTGTTGCTTTTTTTCTTTTTTTTGTCTCTCGTTGTTTTTCCCAAGTCTCTCAAGGATTCTATGCGATAGACACACTGAGAATGATGGTGTGGCACACAAATCTTTTTTTTTACGTACTTTAGCTGTTGTGATTGGATTTGACTGCAGTAGGTGCCGCTGCTCTTGTTAATGTGTGTAGCCTTTGATATTGCATTTATTGTGGTGCTGTTATTGTTGTTTCTGAGAGTATTACTATCGATGTATACATGTGTTTGATTCTTTGCTGGATCTAATATAATATGTATATTTCTGTTGGCATTCCGTATTTTATTTTGCTATTTTTTTGCATATGCTTTAACAGTGCATCCGCTTATCCACCGACGTCTAATTGCGGCTGTGAGTATACTATCGTATGGATGTTACTGGTCTCATTTAACTGCAATTGTGTTGGGTTTATTACTTGAAGCTTGTAAAGGGAATATGCACCCTTAAGTGCTTTGGGGTATTAATGGTTAGAGGGTTGCGATAATTTATTATTTTGCAGGTAATTGTTTCCCTTGTTGCGCGTTAAGCACAACGGAATAGACGCTTATGAAATATGTAAATGTTTGGCTTTTCTTTTTGCCATCTTTTATTATTTGAAAGTACAATTTTGGATTTGTATTCCCATGATAAGTGAAGTGATTTTGGGTTTGTATATTTTTGAAAGGGGTGGGGTAAATGTAAATCGGACCACAAGGGTTGTTTTTACCATTATGTTGATTGTGATATATATATTGTTTTACCATTGTGAGACCTTTGTTCATAATTTAATATTCTTCAGTGTTATTGTTTGTAGGATACTATGCAATGGATGTCATGGTTTAATTTATTGCATGCCTGTTTGGGTTATGGATTTGCAAACGGATGATTGCCCACAACTCAGTGCAGAATTTTCATGTCTGTTCCCTTTTCTTGTGTTAAACATATTGTGTGTGTGTGTGGGCAAGGTGTACTTGTCACTCAGTGTTATCTTTTCAAGAGGGATTATGCTAATATATCTCAGGAATTCCAACATAAGTAGCATTTGCTTATATCAGTGAGTTTCCCTTTTTTTCCAAGTGATATACTCTCTCCCGATGCTTAGCGGTTTATGTGATGCTGGGTTGTGGTTAATTCTATTGTGGAATTCACCTAATGGCACCTGAGAGGCACAAGGTGAGATGATACATTATGCAGAGCCGTGACTTTAGCCATTGTGGGAATGTCTGCAGTTGTTAAACCTGAATGGGATAGTTTCAAAACCATTGGTCTTGTGTTTGGAAGTGTGGATAGATAATATCTGTATTATTGGGTAATAAAAATGAGGTTATTTCTTTGGGAGTGTGAAAGGGGAGAAATTTGGGTAAAAAAAAGATTGTAATGCGATGATGGTTGAGTTTGTGTCTGGATCCACCCATTACATTTTCTTGGGAGTCCATTTCCATTGCAGTTCTCACTTGACTGCACGGAGCAGCACATGTAACTGTAAATTATACAAGACACACATCCAGTGAAAGATGGAACTGTTTTAGAGTGGGAAATGGATGGAATGTCGATCTCTACATGCAGCAATGATACTTGTGGTTCATTTGGCCATTTACCACTTTTTTTTTATTTAATTTACTTGGAGCGATTCTTTGACAACTTTTCCTTCTACCATTATTCAGTAGGGGTGTAGATTGTTGCGTACACTTCTCCGTCATAATAAACATATTATCATCAAGGGAGAGGTTGATGTTCTCTGCCATACTCATTACATGCACCTCATTGATAGGTATTTATGGAAGGGGGAGTGTATTATTTTTCAGGAACTGTAAAGATTGAAGTCACCATTGGAGTCAACTCCATACCATGCATATGGAATCAAAGGACGGTAATGGTTTCCGCCATTTTTTGATATTTGTGTATCACTTGCTTTTGCACATTAAAGTGTACAATTAACAATACGTGGTTGCAATGGTGATTCTTAAAAAAAAAAATAATAATAAATAACGGCAGTGTGAAATCCTTTGTTTTATCATGGGAATTGGATTTGGATGTTACGAATGCTGGACTCTTCTGACGTGCAGATTTCATTCTCTTATGGGCGTTTCTGTGATAACCCAGTGGACGGTGTTTGTCGTGTGAGACTCTCGTGGTAGTGAATGAGTTGATGAATGATAGAGAGAAGGCGTGTGTGATAGTGTAGTGTAGGATTGATTATTTGTTGTACTCTTCTTAAGAGAAGTGTTGCTTGTTTGACGAGGGTGTCCTTATTGCGCTATATGTATATATATTTCATAATATTTGAATTTCAACGAAACAAAATAAAAGAAACAAAAGAAAATGATAATTATTTTGTACACGGGGCACATTTCCTTTTAATTTTATTTTTCAATCCAAAGTGTTTAATGACATTTATGGGAAATTCTAAAACTGAAGTTAAAATGTTAAATTCTACAACCATATTTGACTAAAAAAAGAGAAAAAAAACAGTAACGGCAAAATTGTACACAGTCTCTTGGATGACACCAGAGAAATGTTAACTAAACAGTGAAGGGCAAAAGTGAAAGATACATCTTGGAAAGGAGAAAAAAAAGGAATAAATCAGGGAAGGCAATGGGACAAGAATAATAATAACCCTCTGGGGCATGAATTCACACGCGATGCATCACTCTGAATATTTGACAGTCATCTCTATTTGTGTGTGTTTTTTTCTTTTCTTCTTTCTCTTTTCAATCCTGCTTGATTGGATCTTTTTTTTTCCTCTTTATGCGATAGACTAGCTAAGAGAACGACAAATCAGACAATAATTTCCTTAAAAAGAACAATGCGCGTTATATCGTCTACATGGTGCGTGCTGCTGCTGCTGCTGCTAGCGATTGCGGTAACCGCGTCGCATGAGCCGCGCTTCCACGTGCGTCCCCCCACCAATTGGGTCAGCGGCCCCAGCGGGCTTTACTTTGACCCCTTTACACTAAAGACACACCTGTACATGCAGTACAACCCGTACGACTCGGTGCAGGGTAATACAAGTTGGTACCACTTCACCTCCTATGACTCTGTGAAGTGGCAGGATCAAGGCATTGCACTGAAGAATGATAATGAATACGATCGCAGAGGTGCGTACAGTGGAACCATCACGGATGGCGATTATGGGTCACCTGTTGTAATGTATACGTGTGTTGCAGATGGTGACGTGCAGCGACAATGCATTGCTTTACCAAACAAGAAGGATGCTCAATCTGGTCGCAAGCGTTCGCTCAACTCGTTTGTTAAGCTTCCTACAAATCCTGTATTGACAGAGAAGGATGTGCCTGGTCTTGTTGGGCTGAACAACTTTCGTGACCCCACAGGTTGGTGGGGTAACCCTGATAACACATCAGAGTGGCTGGTGGCTTTCGCAGCCAGTGTTAAAAATTCAGCTGGTGTACCTGAAGCGCAGGTTGTTGTTTTCGCTAC